GCAATAAAAATTGCTCTAAATATGTATGATTGATTGGTGTGGGAGAAATAAGTTTTATACGATCTTGTGATGTGGAAGTAATAAAAGCGACAGACTGCATAATAAAGGTTCATATCACAAGGGGCAATATAAAGTGACGTTCTTTCGCATTGAGATTTTATGCATCCAACCATAAAAGCGCATGGCAACCTCTGCTTCCCTCTGCGAAGGGCCTATGTTTTATTATTATCTTCTACCTTATGCAAGTGTCACGGTGATCTTCACCTTTCCTTTTTCATTTTATCCTTGGGCAAGCCCAGCATATTGGAAAGAACATGATATATATATATCTAATTGGATGTAGGGGAGCATGAATTATTATTGTTGACATTACCCTTGAGGTAAAAGGTTGTGGGGCAAAACTATAAGCCTCTATCTTTCTCTATGTCCGATTAAAACTCCGTAACCACAAGTATTGCGTGAGTGTTAGCAATTATGAAGGACTAGATGATAGTTGAGTATGTGGACTTGCTTTTTAGTTCTGACATAGACTCTTTCCGATGTTATGATAAATTGCAATTGCTTCAATGACTGAGGTTATAGTTTGTTGGTGCTCAATAAGGTTTCTGATTCATACTTTTGCATTGTGAATAGATCATCACTTGAACATAAGTAATCATATGACAAAATCTATATATGTTGCCGTTATGAGAATAATCATGATGCCTTCATGTCCGTATTTTATTTTTATCGATGCCTCTACCTCTAAACATGAGGACATATTTATTGTTATTGGCTTTTCGCTTGAGGACAAGCGAGGTCTAAGTTTGGGGGGAGTTGATACGTCCATTTTGCATCATGCTTTTATATCAATATTTATTGCATTATGGGCTGTTATTTCACATTATGTCACAATACTTATGGCTATTCTCTCTTATTTTACAAGGTTTACATAAGGAGGGAGAATGCCGACAGCTGGAATTCTGGGCTGGAAAAGGAGCAAATGTTAGAGACCTATTCTGCGCAACTCCAAAAGTCCTAAAACTCCACGGAACATCTTAAAATAAATAAAGAAAAAATCCTCGCCAAAGATGAAGGCCAGGGGGCCCACACCCTGCTCACGAGGGTGGGGGGCGCCCCCGCACGCCCCCTACCTCGTGGGCCCCCTGGTGGCTCTCCGACGCCCATCTTCTCCTATATGAAGTCTTTCGATGAGGAAAAAAAATTAAGAAGGAACCTTTCGGGACGAGACTTCGCCGCCACGAGGCGGAACCTTGGCGGAACCAATCTAGAGCTCCGGCAGAGCTATTCTGCCGGGGACACTTCCCTTCGGGAGGGGGAAATCATCACCATCGTCATCACCAACGCTCCTCTCATCGAGAGAGGGCAATCTCCATCAACATCTTCACCAGCACCATCTCATCTCCAAACCCTAGTTCATCTCTTGTATCCAATTCTTGTCTCCAAGTCCGGGATTGGTGCTAGTAGGTTGCTAGTAGTGTTGATTACTCCTTGTAGTTGATGCTAGTTGGTTTATTTGGTGGAAGATCATATGTTCAGATCCTATATGCATATTATTACCCCTCTGATTATGAACATGAATATGCTTTGTGAGTAGTTACGTTTGTCCCTGAGGACAAGGGAGAAGTCTTGCTATTAGTAGTCATGTGAATTTGGTATTCGTTCAATATTTTGATGAGATGTATGTTGTCTAGCCTCTAGTGGTGTTATGTGAACGTCGACTACATAACATTTCACCATTATCTGGGCCTAGAGGAAGGCATTGAGAAGTAATAAGTAGATGATGGGTTGCTAGAGTGACAGAAGCTTAAACCCTAGTTTATGCGTTGCTTCGTAAGGGGATGATTTGGATCCACTTGTTTCATGCTATGGTTAGGTTTACCTTAATACTTTTGTTGTAGTTGCGGATGCTTGCAATAGAGATTAATCATAAGTGGGATGCTTGTTCAAGTAAGAACAGCACCCAAGCACCGGTCCACCCACATATTAAATTATCAAAGTACCGAACGTGAATCATATGAACGTGATGAAAACTAGCTTGACGATATTCCCATGTGTCCTCGGGAGCGCTTTTCCTATTATAAGAGTTTGTTCCGGCTTGTCCTTTGCTACAAAAAGGATTGGGCCACCTTGCTGCATCTTATTTACTTTAGTTACTTGTTGCTCGTTACAATTTACCTTATCACAAAACTATCTGTTACCACTTATTTCAGTACTTGCAGAGAATACCTTGCTGAAAACCGCTTATCATCTCCTTCTGCTCCTCGTTGGGTTCGACACTCTTACTTATCGAAAGGACTATGATAGATCCCCTATACTTATGGGTCATCAATAAGACACTTTTTTTCTCTTGAGGCATGGCACTGATATTCTGATTGTTCAGATTTACGTGGATGATATCATTTTTGGTGGCTCCTCTCATGCTATGGTTTCCAAGTTTGCAGAAGATATGAGCAGGGAGTTCGAGATGTCGATGATGGGAGAACTGCAGTTCTTTCTCGGGCTGCAGATCAAGCAACACAAGGACGAAACATTTGTGCACCAAAGCAAGTACACGAAGGACATTCTCAAGAAGTTCGAGATGAGCGACTCCAAGCCAATGACGACACCGATGAGTACAACTACAGCCTTGGATGCGGACGAGGATGGAGAACCCGTGGACCAGAAGGAGTACCGGAGCATGATCGGCTCCCTCCTCTACTTGACGGCGACAAGGCCGGACATACAATTCAGCGTGTGTCTGTGCGCTCGTTTTCAAGATTCACCGAGGACTTCACACAGGCAAGCCGTCAAGAGGATCTTTAGGTATTTGAAATTCACTCCTGACTTGGGTCTTTGGTATGCTGCTTCTTCGACTCTTACCCTCCATGGTTTTTCGGATGCTAATTTTGCTGGGTGTCGGTTGGATCGTAAATCTACTTGTGGGCAGTGTCAGTTTATGGGTTCCTCTTTGGTGTCTTGGTCTTCTCGCAAGCAGTCTAGCGTTGCCCAATCCACTACAGAGGCTGAGTATGTTGCTGCCGCTAGCTGTTGCTCCCAGCTGCTTTGGATCATGTACACCATGAGAGATTTTGGCTTGAGCTTTACCCATGTTCCACTTGTATGTGATAGCACTAGTGCCATAAGCGTCGCCAAGAATCCAGTGCTCCACTCCAAAACTAAACACATAGAGGTGAGGTACCATTTCCTGAGAGATCATGTTGAGAAGGGAGACATAGAGCTTGCCCACGTTTCTACCCAAGACCAGCTAGCCGATATCTTCACAAAACCACTTGACCAAGCAACCTTTGCCCGCTTGCGAGGAGAGCTTGGTGTGTGTTTGCCTACCTTTTTGAGCTGGGTCTTGGAGCTTCACTTGTAACATATGTATATTCACTTTGTATCATGGTAGGGGTAGCCATCTTTGCATCTTGATGTACATAGCATGCTTTTTTGCATTGTATACATGTTCATTTTCATGCATTGCTTAGGATGAGCTTCTCCTATATATAGTGAACACTAGATTTTGCTACATTTAGATTGTTTTTTTTAGAAAAGGAGGATGACCCCCGGCCTCTGCATCTGGAAGATGCATACGGCCACTTTATTGATTATTTTCGAGGACCTTAAAAAGTATTACAACAATGTGCCTGAATCCACCATCTTGGCAACACATGCCGCTACTTCTATCCAAAATGATGAAGGGGTGCTAGCTGGGCCAGTACCCAAACCACTCACCTAAGCCTAACATCAAAAGCCGAAAGCTGAAACATATTTGGAAGCCCCAGCCGAGCCACATACCGGGTCTGGGGCAGAATCCGGTCAGACGCACTCGTGTGTCGTCGTCGCCATCTTCCACAGGTCCGTCTTTAGATCATGTTGAGGCTTCTACCTTGTCTGGCCACTCTGCCATCGACGTCATCATGACGCCAGACAGCAACCTTCTCCTGCGCGAGTCCATCTCCGTGCATCGGACGCCGAGCCTTCACAGCGCCATGCCGCCGATATCTGCCGCCATCGATGTGTGAGATGAAGCACCGCTCCACCATCCCCCCAGCCAGCACTTACTCCAAAACGATGCCCCCAGGAGGGAAAGCGATAAAACGCCATCATCGTTCGATCCGGAAGACCCAGATCTAGGGTTTCCCCCGGAGCATCCCGAGCCTGATGAGGCAGACTGCAACGACGATGCCTCGACAAGGGAACGACATCTAAGACGCCGCCATCGTCCGCCATGACCGTAGTCGGCGCGATTTTCATCGGCAGTTGCTCCACCAGACGTGCGCCGCCAACGTCGCTGGTCCCTTCAACCAGAGCAAACTCCAAAACAATGCCCTAAAGAGGGACTACGACGCAAAAGCGCCGCCATCGCTCGATTCCAAGGAGATCTAGAGTTTCCCCCATAGTTCCCGCGCTGTCAAGGGCCAGACAAGGGTAGAATCCCGCGGATCTGCCCAGCTGCCGACGAGTCGCACCCACCACCGTGCCGACGGCCGACCAACGATCAATCCGTTGAACTCGGGTCGTTAGGCTGCACAACCGCATGCCCAACCATTGAGCCAGTGATTGGTACCGTGTGGCGATCTTGATTGTATTTTCATATACTCCCTCCGTTTCGAATTACTTGTCGCACGTATGTATGTATCTAGATGTATTTTTGTTCTAGATACGTCCATTTCGGCGACGAGTAATTTAAAACGGAGGGAGTATATATATTCATGTTGAGATAGCCCATTTTTCTTGTTATTCTTTCCAATTGCGTAAAGCCTTAACTTCGCCGCCTGCTCTCACTTCCCACCACAGGCCCCGCCGCTCGCCCGATTCCGCCCCCGAATTCGTCCATTCTTTTATCTCATCTCCCGTACTGACGGCGCCTCATTCACTTGACCTGGACTTAAAAGTTGTGTACTTTTCTTGTGTCTAATTCGGTTGCAGCGATGCTCCGTGTCGAGGGGGGGACGCCCTGATTCCGCGCTGTTGCCGTACGTGAGATCTCGGGGTGGCCATCTCGCGGCGGCGACATGCCGTCTCTGCAGCTGCTGCAGTTGACGGACCGCGGACAGGTGCTTCTGGCTTCCAAGAGGTTTGCTCCCTTATTTTTTTTCTTGCTATTCTTTCCAATTGCGTCGTGGAATGCAGTGTTTGCCTCCTCACTGTCTCTCGTGTGGAACCAGGAGGACTCTCGCTGTTGTTTCTGGCGCGCTGATTGCTGGTGGAGCTTTGGCCTATGCCCGGTCAAGCCAGAGCCAGCGGAGGAGGCGTTCGGAGGCAAATTATGGCAGCGAAGCCAGTGAATTGGCCACCAAAGGGGATGGGTTGAGTCAGAATGGTAGATTGGCTGCAACAAAGCGTAAAATGAGTGGGCTTAAATCTTTGCATTTCCTAACTGCTATCCTGCTGAAGAAGATTGGTCCCAATGGCACACGCTTCCTTCTAGGCTTGGTATTAACAGCGGTAAGTTCCACCATTTTCTATGATTGCATTCTACTTTTGGAACTTGTGGCCTGTCACAACTCACAAGTGATTCCAATGTCGCAACTGGCCTACTGCTGCTAGCATATAAAGGAATCATTTGTGAATAAATCTGTATTACTCATCCTAGTTTCTTAACAAGGAAAGCAACCTAACAATCCCATGTCAATGAAGAAAGTTAGCAAAAATATTTTTTCCTGAGAAATAGAAAAGAAACAATCTATGTTTAATGCATTTTCCATATGTTTTGATGGTAAAATTTTGAATGTCTAAAAACATTTTATCCTGACTATTTAATAATATGTACTACCATCGCTAGAAACTTTTTTTAACTATTGCTACAAGTTTCTGTTTTTTCAAATGTCTACCTTTGGGAGTTTTGGACAGTATTGGAAGCTTTGCTAATGATCTACAGCACCACATTCTTTTTTGCAGGTGCTGCGTACTGCTGTGGGGCATAGATTGGCAAAAGTTCAAGGCTTTTTGTTTAAAGCAGCGTTTCTTCGGCGTGTCCCAACATTTACACGCTTGATCATAGAAAACCTTATATTTTGTTTCCTCCAATCCACATTATATCAAACATCAAAATACTTGACAGGGTCTTTGAGTTTGCGTTTCAAGAAAATTTTAACCGATATCGTTCATGCTGATTACTTTGAGGTACTTTTACTGCAATTTGTTTCTTCATTGGTTCCATTTTGTGCTACTTCCAAGTGCACACATTTCTCACCTGCATCATTGCATTATTTCCTCAGAATACCATGAAGAGTATTATAGAATTTGAATGCCAATAAAGAGTATTTTCTAAGTTCTTAATCTATCAACATACTAATTTGTTCTTGTCAGTATTATGTCATAGATTATGGGACCATTTATAAAACTAGTGATCAGTGCAGCAAAGAACGCATAGCTGTCATGTCATAGAAAAAAAAAAGAAATTCCATAAAAGGGGAACTATGTTTCATCACGTGCTATTCTCCTACAATCTAAAGATGAATATCGTTTCTATGATAGTCAATTATAGTATTCGGTTGGTGCATGAAAAATATGCTTACCATTTTTTTCTAGTGCTGTTACCAGTAATTTTTTAATCTTACCCTTTCTAGTGCTCCCATTTTCTTTATGCTAGTTGAATTTGCCTGCCAGTTTTTAATTTATGCTAGCATTAATTACTTTTTTCAGTTAGGTTGTGAAGATTATAATTGATTTTGGTTTTAGAAGCTATTTTCCCCTGTTTTCCTTCATGCCTTATTAGGAGAATGCAGTTGCTTTTAGTCATGCGTGCAATTTTAGTACACATGCTAGCAGCTATGTTTTTCATTAATTTATTTAACACTTCTTTGAAATACAATTTTGACAAGACATTTCACACTCTTGTTTGCTCTATCTCCAGAATATGGTTTATTACAAAATGTCACATGTGGATCATCGAGTATCAAATCCAGAGCAAAGGATTGCTAGTGATATCCCAAAGTTCTCTTCTGAACTAAGTGAGCTTGTACAGGATGATCTGGCTGCGGTTGCAGAAGGGCTAATATACACCTGGCGTCTCTGTTCGTATGCTAGTCCAAAATACGTGGTCTGGATTATGGTAAATTCTTGATAGAAAATCTTGGTAGCGATGCTTTATTTACTTATATAAGATTTGATAGCCTATAATAACCTCTATGAAAGTTATTAGTATTTTGTATTGACAGCCACTTTCTTCCTGCACTCATCACTTGGTAATTTTATTATATTTAAATGCTTTCAGGCATATGTACTAGTTGCTGGTGGGGTGATAAGGAAATTTTCTCCTGCTTTTGGAAAACTGAAATCCACGGAACAACAACTGGAAGGAGACTATCGTCAACTACATTCACGATTAAGAACACATGCGGAGAGTGTGGCATTTTATGGTGGTGAGAACAGAGAAGCATCTCATATTATGTAGAGGTTTGAGGCTCTTGTTGGGCATCTGAATCTTGTGCGTCATGAAAACTGGTGGTTCGGCATGATTCAAGATTTCTTTCTGAAGTATTTTGGTGCCACTGTGGCAGTTGTCCTTATCATTGAACCATTCTTCTCTGGCAACCTTAGACCTGATTCATCAACCCTTGGAAGGGCTGAAATGTTAAGCAATCTTCGATATCACACAAGTGTAATCATATCGTTGTTTCAGTCCCTTGGGATTCTTTCTATCAGTTCAAGACGTTTAAATATCCTGAGGTACAGTTTTCCATCTATTTTACAAATTGTTAACATTACGTCATTACACCATAGGTCCGAATCATGGAAGGTGACCCTTTGCTCCAAAAGTTACTGAACAGTGGTGCATCTATCTAATTAAATCTACTTTTTTTATGCCGTTGTAATTTGACAATAGTGATACTTCCTGTTCCATTTCTGACTTTCACACTGAAAATAACTTCTTTTTTCATGAAACTATTTTAGTGCTATGATCCACATTTTGTGAAGAGGGAAGAATCTCACTTTTGCTTTTTGTTGTTTAGTGGTTTAACATTTTTCCAAGCCAAAGACATTATGTCATTTTGTGTAGTGCTTGGACGAAGCATAACTGGAAATTGTTACATCCTGCTGTTAACTTGTGATTTAGATATTATTTAATTTCAATTTGTGGAGCTTATGATGTGATTCTCTATTTGATTTGACCTGTTGCATTTTGTGTTAGGTGACCTTCTGAAATTAAATAGAGAATCACATCATAAGCTCCACAACTTAGCACATGTGTTTAGGCTTGAGGTGCAACTTAGCACATGAACCTGCTGGATTTCTAACCATGCCCGTTTCACAGGTTGACCTAGAATACTTGCTAGAACGCTATCCTCTTGATAAGGAAGTTAACTGGGGTGATGAGCTGTCCCTTGGTGAGCAACAAAGACTGGGAATGGCCAGGTTATTCTACCATAAGCCAAAGTTTGCCATACTTGATGAGTGCACTAGTGCTGTAACGACTGATATGGAAGAACGTTTTTGCAAGAAGGTTCGAGCTATGGGTACATCTTGTATAACAATATCTCATCGCCCAGCTTTAGTTGCATTTCATGATATTGTTTTGTCCTTGGACGGTGAAGGCGACTGGAATGTTCAGCACAGAAGGTTGAAACCCTTTAAATAAGTTGTTAAATGTATGTTCTCTGAATTAATTCACTAAAAAATTAGTAATATACTATTTTTGCAGGGAGGACTCTTCCTTTTCCACTGAAGAGTCTGATTTTCAATCATTAGAAACTGATCGCAAATCTGATGCACTGACTGTTCAAAGAGCTTTTATGAGAAGGGCAAAGGTATATGATTTTTGGTCTACTGGATTTCTGTTCCATCATCATTAACAGGCACAACTTAACTCATGCTTCTGTTTAATGGGTTTCCTCACCAGAACAATCCTTCGTTGGGGTCCAAGGACCATTCGTACTCTACAGAGGTCATAGCAACTTCCCCTAAGGTGGAAATAGAACATGCAGTACGGACATCTCGGGTTCCACATTTGCGATGCCACCCAAGACCTTTGCCTCTCAGAGTAGCTGCAATGCTCAACATACTAGTATGCTGTTCTCCTTGGTGCCTTTCTGTTCCCCAATAATTCACTCAGCCACTACTTTAGAATTTAGAAATCTTTGCTTGTTGGTTACTCCTTTGTTTGAACAAAAACATCTAATGTGATATAATTACTAATAACCTTTCGAGTATACTAATGCTCTACAAACTAAGGAACTAGTAAAAAAAAGAGGAGATTCTACACACATAGATCGGATGAAGCCCCTTGAACTAGTTCTAGGAACTTTATTCTCGATGTTGATACACCCTGAAATTCTTATGCTACTCTCCTTTGCTCCCCAGGTTCCTAAACTTCTTGATAAACAAGGCGGGCAGTTGCTTGCTGTTGCTGTACTTGTTTTCTCTCGTACATGGATCTCTGATCGTATTGCTTCATTGAATGGTTCTTCCTTTTCACCCTTGGATATCTTTCATAGTTAAAAGCTGCAAGTAAATTTCTCATATGATATGTCTCATCTTGCCAGGGACAACTGTGAAGTTTGTCTTAGAGCAGGATAAAGTTGCCTTCATTCGCTTGATTGGTGTCAGTATTCTACAAAGTGCTGCAAATTCTTTTGTGGCACCATCTCTTAGGTAATCATTGGTTAACTCCATTTCAAAGATTTATTACTAGTTAATTGTTACACATGGATGCCATAGGGTCTGTTGCTGCAGCTTTAGTGCACATAGGGCAACAGCTATAGATGTGGCTACAAGCATCAAAGAGACATAGCCTGCATGGAAGCCATGCAGCAAGATAGCAGCAGCTTGCATAGCAATATATGAGGACAGCATATTGCTAGTTGTTTGATGCATTGTCTTATCTTAACATTAGGAAGTTGCATTATTTGACAATTGATATGTATCAGGGATTGGTTTTAATTGCATGCACATCTCGCTAAGAAAATTTAATGAAGAACATACAGTGTTTCATCAGTGAATTGCATGCTACAAGGTTTCTATAGTGGGAGTATTTAACGTAGGATTGAAACTTTTACATGTATCTGTACAGGACCCTTACCTCTAAACTTGCCCTTGGATGGCGAATTCGCTTGACCAATCATTTGCTTCGATATTATTTGAAAAGAAATGCATTCTACAAGGTATCTTCTCAAGCAAAAACACAGAAACACATTATTGCTTTAGTTTCCTTTACTGGTTACCTGTTGCACATTATCGCTTCTCAATAGTCTAGTTATGGTATGACAGGACTTTGTAGGTGGTGTTATAGCTGTTCTGATATTCATTTGAATGCATCATTTATGTGACAGTCTGTACTAGTGGAGAGTTGGAGACTATTTTGTTCAGTATGAATTGCTGGGGTTGTTGCTTTGTTGGGCACTTGCTTATGTAATTGTATGGGTGTGCCTCACAGAGCCCGCTGTTTGAAATTTTAATTATGGGCTTTGAATGGCAAAGGTAAAATACTTGAGCCGTTGCCTAAAACGTACCCTATACACATTTGAGCTAGTCAAAATGTTCTTTTTAGTTAAATCATAAGGCAGAAATACTCCCAAGTTAGAAGTTGTGCCTTCTCGAAAATTCAGTTACTTTAGAGGTTCTAATTTGGATGCTCCAGTCTGCATGATGGAACAAGATGCTGGAGTCTGGTACCTCCGGCACTCCAGTGGGCATCAACTTTGTGTGTATTGTCCAAGCTGGAAATTTGGATTTTGGAGAGGGATAAAAAACAATAAGGGAATATGTTTGACCTGTAACGTAGCCTCCATGCCCTTTTCTATACTCCAATGCATTTATTTGTTCCTAGTTTTTTGTGAAGACGGAGATCCTGAGTTCTGAGACTGGAGATGGCCTAGCCATCATGCTGTCTAGTGGTGGCATGACAATTGTTTTAGGGTTGAGATGGACAGGAAAAGTAACAAGTTATCCTTGTATATGTTTTCAGGTATTCAACATGTCAGGTAAAACTATTGATGCAGACCAAAGATTAACACTTGATGTAGACAAGTTGACCACTGATCTTGCTGGCCTAGTTACTGGAATGGTAAAACCAGTGGTTGACATTATTTGGTGAGTTATCCTTGCATCTATTGCTAATTATGAACTTGGTTTAAAGTTACCCTAGAATTCATTGTGATAATTCTAGCCAAACTCACCAGGTTTACATGGAGAATGAAGCTCTTGTCAGGACGAAGAGGAGTTGCTATACTATATGCTTACATGTTACTGGGTTTGGGCTTCCTGGGAGCAGTATCCCCTGACTTTGGTCGTCTCTCGGGCCAAGAACAAGAACTTGAAGGAACATTCAGGTAAATACTGCATATGTTGTTGCGTCTTGGTAGAGCCAACATGCCATTTAAAAAAAATTGAAGTGCTAATCTGATGAGCTTTTGCAAGGTTCATGCACTCAAGACTGCGGACACATGCTGAATCAATTGCTTTTTTTGGTGGTGGTTCAAGAGAGAAAGCTGTGAGTTCCATCGCATTACACAGACAATACTCAAGTTCATAAAAATGACATGTGTTTAATACCATCAGTTAATTAAATGCTTGTTTGATTATTTTAGCCTCAAATGTGAAGTGCAATGATAGGTAAATATTGGATTGTTGAATGATAGCTGGCTTCTTCTTTTTTTTACTTAAAAAGCATATTTTTGACTCAGCCACTCTGCTGAACTTGTAACTACATTCTCACTTTGTAGCTTTATGAAACCAGATATTGCTTCCTTACTGCTTTATTGTGTTTATCACTCTATATTTAGTTTTGCCTGAGATAGTTTGCTTTCCGTACCTTGTTGGCACCTTCCTAGCGAAGTTAATGTTTGCTTGTTTTATTCTTAAGAGTAGCTTGTAGCAGCCTGATTTCAATTTTTTTCAATGTGTTATATTTAGAGATTATGAGATAAAAATGTTATCATTATCCCAGACAGTGTGGCTTATTTATAGACATTGCGTGTAGCCATGACGCCATGTACATGAGATGGAATATTGAAGAACTAGGATAATATAATGTGGACACCCAGTAGTTCCATTTTCTGATACTTCTATATGGCATTTGTAGAGACCATTAAGTGCTTAGACTTTAGAAACTGTTCGTGTGTGGTTCTCTTTCAATTGTATTTGCAGTTCCAACAGACATGTTATATTTATGAACTCTAACTGACAAAGGTCCCCACCCCCAACTAGCTCTTCTGCTACCCTTGCTGTGTTAGATGACATGAACCTGACTTTCAGCATATAATTCTTTTCATATATCAGATGGTTGAGG